ATAATGGAGAGTCAGAGTTTTAGTTTTGCTCTCCTATGCTTACCTCAAAACCCAGACCTTGGAGATACTAAAGATTTTTGATATCAAGGTTGTCTAAGTCAGTATGATAAAAGATCGCAAGCCATTGCCACCTGGATTGCCATTGGGGCCTATATATGACCTTTCACCACAGAAAGGAGAAAAAGAGAGGGAAATGAAGACTGAGAAAAAAGAAAAAGATAAGAAAAGAGATAAGGGCTAAAGAGGGTGGTGTTTTTGACATGTCTAATTATCTAAGGATGGCCTACGTAAAAAATTGATATATGCATAAAATTCCAAAAGAATATTGGCTCGAAAGAGGCGACCTTTTAAACTGAGCATAAAAAAAGTTGGAGTTTTCGCCCATGGCTTTTCTTTTGGCAATACAACCCATCCGAACCCAAAATCGTACATTTGGTTTGAAGAATTTAGAGTTTTCATCGGTTTCCGGTTTGAGTTTTCTTTCTGGCTCTTACTGTGCCATAGCTTTCTCCCATACTTCTACTCTTCCCTATTGTTAATGTTTTTGTTTTGGTTGGTTTGTGTGAAAATGACATGAAATGGAAAGGGGAAGTTAATTTGATGGACAAAAAAGTTTAATTTAAAGAGGTTGTTGTGGCTGTGAGTGATACTGATACCCCTTTTTTAAAGCTTTGTGGATATACATAAATTCATCTCTGTGGCTTGCTAGGCTCCTTAATATTGTTGTCTTGATGTCTGTCATTTTACTGTGTTTAAAAATTAAGACTCTCTTCTTCCAATTCTTTTATTGACTTCCCAATCCTCTCTCTGTTAACTATAAAACTAATCACTAAGAACAAACAGCTATATAATTCGATCCAACAATATGTCTTACTTGATGGCATTCCCATAATGAACTCTCGAGGTTGAGGATAGAATAATTGTATTAAGCTTAAATTATATATCTTGTTTTTGTGCTTTTACTTTGGTTGTCAATTTCGGTCCATGGATGTTAAACACTTTTAATTTCATTCTTGTAGTTTTATTTATTAATCTTAATGGTGTTCTTTTTACTGTATTAATGTCAAATCAGTTCACATGAAGTTTATATCGTTAAAGTACTATTACATTTAATAATTGGAGCATATTGACAAAAACTGAAACATTTAAAAAATGTGGGGACAAAATTGTACAAGAACAAAATTTGTAATTTTATCTCAGTTGTAGGCTGTGGCCGATCGGAAATGTTTTTTTTTTAACCATTTAAAAGTATTTTTACTGTAACTGTTTAAAAAATATTTTTATCACCAATCTCTCACATGATAACGCATGTTTTCTCCCTAATTAACCTCTACTCTCACCAGCTTCGCTCTTTACCCATTTTCAGGAGTTTGTAACAATGCACATGATTACTGATAAAGAAATGTGAAATTAAAAAAATATAAAATCGATTTTATTATAATTAATTTGTTTTGGATGATAGATATCATAAGGGCACTTTTGTTAGGTAGACGAATGAGGTCCATCATGTTGTTTGGTTTTTGAAAAAATATTCTTTTATGAGATTTTCATTTATAAATGAAAAAGTCATAAATTTTCAAAGACAAATTCCAAGGGAAAGTAATACAAAAATAAAATATGAATAAAAAAAACTAAGAAGAAATAAAAGCTTTCCAAGTACTGGAGATGATACTAGAAGAACAATTCGAGAATAAAATCGAAAGAGAACACCTTTGTGTCTTAAATTTTGCAAGCTCAAAACATTTGAACCAATAAAGACCAATCCTTCAAATGAAAATAGAAGCAATAAAATAGCTGCAACAGATTGCTTTTTTGCTTTTGGCGTCAACTGAGAAGGACCATGATAAGTTGAAGACTTTGAAGAGAGAGATTTGAGAGAGTATTTCTATAATCGAGGTCGGAGTGAGAAATTTGCGTGATTGCAATCTTCTTCGCATAATGTTTTTTATTTTTGATACGCCGTGATTTTTTCTCTAATATAAATTTTTTTAGATAAATTCTTATGTTTGTTTATTGTTGTTATTTTTCAAAATTTCTCAATTATTTTCTGAAATGTTGATATTGAAGTATTATTTATTAATTTGATGGTGTAATGATTAGTGAGAATGGGGATCCAATAATGGTGGGCAGAGACAGAGGCATTATTTTGGTTTTTGTCAAAAACAAATGAGTGAATGAGGAGAATAGGAAGTGATATGGAAACAACAAATAAAGGAAGGGGTTTTGAGAAGGACGTGGATTTTTAATTGCTCGTGAACTTTTCTATAGCCCTCTCGTGAACTCCATAAATATAATTTTGCTCACATCATTCTTTTATTCCTTCTATTCCGTCCACACCATTCTCTTTTTGCTTTTGTCCTTTCGTATTTATATGTCTCCGATCAAAACTTCTAACTTTTAATTTTGGGTCTTATATAGGTCTATGAATTTTATAAATATTTGACATGTTCATGTTTTTTCTTTTTTAGTACAAAAGGTAGAGATGGGTTGAATTTACTGTCTATTATTGTTAATCTATGCTCGTTTTAGCAATATTTACATTGCATTTGATGGTGTTTTATCTCCGTAAAGTTGGAAAATTTGAAGCGAAAATCTAGACGATTGGTTTGTTTGGGAGAGAGATGTAGAAACCTCCACGTTTATGTTTATGGTAGACGATGGACGACATCAAGAATGTGAGTAATAGAAGAAATAGGAGTCGTGATCACCCAATGAAATTTGAAGATGAGATATTAAAAAACAAGGGTCACTACCCTTAAAGTTTGGGACGGGTGTGCCTTTATTATCTTCTCCTGTATAGCTTGTAAGCTGGCACTGCCCTTCCAAGTTAGCATTGGATACCATTAGTTTTTTATTTCCATCTAGTTTTATGGGGTTGTTGGGGTGCGTTTTTTCTGTTTGATTGACCATCAGTTAGTGGAATCAGTGCCGTTTTGATACAATTGGACCACTTTTGTCTTGTTCCATGACACTTCTACTATACGCCAGTTTTCGCTTTCATGAAGTTGAAATTCTACCAGAAAGTGGCGCGTTTTTAAGCCCCAGTTTGATCTGTTTGCGGGGCGTCCACTGTACTCCAAGATAAGTGGTCCTTGTTCCTCAATCTTCCCCTTTTTGTGTATATTATATCTTCAGAGAGCCATCAACCATATGATATGAACTTTAGTGCTAACAAACTTTACTATATGCTCAAAATATGTATATTTTTCTTCTAGTAATAGTATAGTACAATCATATACTTAGCAGTCTATATTTCTATTTAGATTCCAAAAGGGTAGGTGTAATTGTATATGCTATGTAAATATATGCTACAGTACAAATATTTCCTGAGTTGGTCGGCTGAAAACCAAGCTCTACCAAAATATGATCCCCTTTGTAGTTTAGTATAGAGAGACAGGACAACAAGGTCAGAGCTCAGTGTGAACAATGTGTTCAGTTGGGAGGTGCAGTTCCACGAGCTCGGGAACTTCGGTCTGATCCGAGGCTGCGGAATACTTGTCGCTGGAAGTTAGGCAGTCTGCTGAGGGGTGCACGACGCCGTATCCAAAACCTTGGGCAGAGTGGCAATAGGTCTCCACTGTTCCATCCGTCTTCTCCAAGTTGACGTTGCTTAGAACTATGTTACTACACGGGACGCTGTCGCTACAAGCGAATTTCATCGCGTTCTTGCTCGTTGTGGTTCCGCTTATGTTCCGATACATTATTTGGCTTATTTTCACAGCTGATGTCTAACAAAAGCAAAAGGCATTGAGATTAATGATTGATATCAACAAAATTTGTCTTACTATCTCAATATGATCTTATATTTAATGTCACTGTTTGATTAGAAGAAGCTAAATATGGATTTTGAGGATTGTGTACCTGAGTTTCACAGGAAGTAGGAGAGTCACAATAGAATTGATCAATGATGATGGGATTCTCAACATCTTCCATTCTCACATTTTCGAATCGCACGCTACGAACATATCCAGAACCCCCCTACACCACACGAATAGAGCGATTTTCCCGTTACGTGTTTTATATAATCAACCATGTAAAATTCATATTCAAATGGTGATTGAAGCTGTGATACTAACCTGCCAAGTCTTGATTCTAACACCATTTGTTGTCTCTCTGAGGAAGGCTGTGTCTAACACCACCTTTGTTACAATGCCAGTGGAGTTGTCCTTCCCTAAACTTCCAATGCTAAGGAACACAGTTTCATAACAAACAAAAGGAAAGAATTCTAAGACATTCATCTGGTTTTGGTACTCGAAACAAATCAAACGATGCCGAGTGAAATGAAAACATCTGCAGTTACCTGATCCCATGCCCCGGTCCACATGATATTCCTTTCATCTTGATGCCAGAACTAGCATTGACAATGGAGATGCAGTCATCACCTGCATGAATTGCACAACCATTACTAAATCAAGACCCTTTTCAGCCAGTTTAGGAAATGGGTGTGTTTAATGATAACTTGATGAAGGTCAGAATGAGAACCTGTTGAAATCTTGCAGTTTTGGATTACAACATTAGTTGATTGAGTGATATGGATCCCGTCCGTATTGGGGCTATCTCCGGGAGCCGAGACTCTTACCTCCGTAACCCGAACAGATTCAGACCGTGCAATGGTGAAATGCATCTGTTGGCTGTTCTGAATAGTAAGGCCTTTTACTCTTATATTTGAACTTGAATCAATAGTTAATGCCTGCAAGAAAGCCCTCAAATCAGAATGTCACATGAAAACTCATGGTTTTCATTCAGAGGAGAGTAGTTTAGTCCTTACTGTTGGTGCTCCTTTGCAGGGCTGAAAAGAAAAACAACCAGAAAACCAGAGTGAATACCATTTCAATCACATAGCCAAGGAATCAAGCTCAGAGACAATTAAAAAATTTACCCTTGACTTGTTCTTTTTGCAGGATTCCGCCCACCATTTGTCGCCCGAGCCGTCGATAACTCCATCCCCTTGAAAGGTAACTGCATTTAGTTTGGTAAATTCTAGCCATTGTCTCTGAAATTTTGGATCCCATTTCTCAGGCTCATCTGGTGCAACTATTGTTCCTTCAATCTGCAAAGTTTAACTCTGTTTTTGTAACCATGATCTTCTCAACTTGTTTATTTGCAAAAAGGAAAACCATCATAATCTTATGGCTTACCTGGATTACTAGGTCATCTTTACATGGCCCTTTAAAAGTGGTTGCATTCACCAGATATGTCCCTCCTTTTGGCACCAAAAGAACTGATTTTGAAGTGCTGCAGGCAGTCTCCCATGCCTTTCTGAAAGCCTGATTACAAAATATGAACACTTTGATTCACTATTCTCCCTGCAAAAATCCATATTTCCAAACAGAAATGTCTATGTACCATTGTATCATCTGAAACTCCATCTCCAACAGCATTGAAACTATCCACATTCATCAGAACCTTGCTCCCGCGCTCGCTTCTCCACACCGGGACGGCAGATGCGTCCACGACATCGTCATCCTCTCCTCCAATGTCGAAATTTTCAAGTTCTCTAATCATGTCAATGTCGCCATCGGGCTCGATACTCCCCGAAACTCCACAGGCAACTATCAGCATACCGAGAAGAGAAAGAACGAAGAATTTATCCATTTCGAGTCGACTTGGTAGAAGAGATTGATTACTGGAGTGATTTGTGTTAATGCAATGATCCAATGAAAGAGGTTAGAATTTATAAGGGGAAATAAAGAAGCCATTTTAGTGGGCTGTGGCTTTGCTTGAAAGCAGATTAAGAGGAGGTCGCCATTTTCAAACATGCCTACACGTAAAGTAGAAGAGAAAATATTTGAAGTTTCTTTGCTTTACTCTAAAACCAGCACACCAAATTCAACACCGCCATTGATGCATTTTGTTTTGTGTCTCCCCCATCGCTCTCTCTCTTTGTTGTGAGCTCACTTCACATTTTCTTCTTCCTTGGCAGCTCAACTCTCAAGTTTCTTCTATGCATGGTAAAATACAGTTGCATACCGTTAAATTCTGTACATTAAAAATGTGGGGGAAAAAAATTCCCATTTAAGATATGAAACCCCTTTTTCCCAATATTTTATTTGAAGTGAAAACCATAATAGAGAAAAAAAATATGTGTTCTCTTGGCAATTGACATGATCGTGCTGGTCGGCTTATTGCATTACCCTTATTTGATAAAATTCATGAAGATTTCTTTTCAATATCAACAAAATAATAATAACTATTCCATTGGTTGACATCTTATCAAAATATTTAACGAAATCCTTCGTTTTCATCCTAGACGATAAGCATTTTATATTAAAAGAAAAATACTTACTTACACACCATCAGCTCCTACTTCCATTGACTTTTTAGTGTGGCTTATTTTTATTTGCTAAAAAAATTTATGGGATAAAATATACCCATAGAAATAGAATAATTAAAAAAAAAAAAGGCTAATCATGGAAGTCCTAAATCCATAATTACAGCCTATTTTCTTTTCTTTTCTTATTATTACATTAATTGATTGGTCACCAGACAACGAGTTTTAAAAAATTGTGGAGCCAAACAAACCATCCATAAGACTATTTTTCTAGGTACTTTCTTTTGGTTAAGAGGATAGGGTTTAATAATTAATAGTATATAATGATGGAAGTCCCTTGTGAGGAAGGTCCTTACTTGCAAGAAACAGAGTTTCACAACTTGAAGATGAACATTTATAGAATTGAAGGAGCAATCAGAGCAACAAAACCAATGTTGTTTTTTTAACATGTAGACGCAATGGCCTCTAAAAGTGAGTGAACGAAACGCATCTGGGTTTCTTTGTCGATTTTCGAGAACAGAGGAACATGGACAAACAATGATTTGTGACCCTTCTGTTCTGCAAATCTGAGTGAGTGATAATATACATAATTGCAAACAAATCGACCCGCATCCTCCGATAATGTCACGTTGTAGCTTTTCGCCTTCAACTTCTCTAAGATCGCCAGAGCCGAGCAGGATGTCTTGAAACAACAATTGAATATTAGTTACATACGAGTTTAAAAGGAGAAAGGCAAGAGAGAAGTACCTTTCTTATCATCGCGATTTCCCCGTCCTCGGAGACTATAGGAACTTTCTGGATCAAGAAGAACAACAAGAAAAGAAAATATATATATGAAAAGTGATACCGAATACATCTGCAGCAAAATGCAAACAAGGTAGTTCGCAAAGATTTAGACAGATGGAAACATTTTCCTATGTTCCAGAGCAAGATAGAGAGCTAGTTCATCAAACTGAATCCATTTGTTTATGTCATCACCCACAGTTTATTAAGTTCATTTTCAGATTGATTAGAAGATTACTGGATTTTGCCTGAAAAGTCTATGTTGTTATACAAGGTACTTTCTGAAGACATATATAATAATAGCTCCAGAAGTAAGAGAAGAAATCAAACCTGAGGCTGCCATCCGAGTTCGTCAGGATAACGGAAAGTAGCTTCGTTCACAGCTTGCCATTCAACAGCAAACCTCACCGACCCGCTATTGACTCCCAAGTGAAGCTGATGTTGAACAAATCCTCTCCAGGTTTCAGCATTCAGTCATTTCTCAGCCAAACAATAAAGGAAATTTTGCTATATAGCAGTAAATAGGAGCTGCTTCCTTTTCTATGCGTGGCTTATCTTTATATATTAGTCGAATGAGCGTTAAATAAACGAATAGAAACGGATTACATAGCAAACTAAGCATTACTAGAGTGCAGCAAGATTTTGTTCAATAAAAGATTAGCAAAATAGATGGTGAAAACTGACCCATATGACTTTGTTAGTCTCTGTCATATTTGAAATGCCAGATTCCAAGACATCGTAAAGCACAGGAAGAGCACCATCTCCAGCAGCATCAAGAACGGTACAACTCCCAAGAGTAACACCAGCAGGCAACCCTCTTTCGTCTACAAAAGCCTTCAAATCATTAACGATAGACTCGGTAGGATTCTCGGCAACCCCATGGAACTTCCTAAATCCAGTCACGTGAATTGTAACCCCAGCTGGACCTTCAGAACCCATTCCTTTCACTTGGGAGTGTAAACAATTCCCAATTACTATTACTTCTCAATGATCTTATGCTACTAAACCACACCCCTGAAAGACCAACCAAAGAATTAGTCACTGTAAAGTAACTACATATATGTTAACTAAATAGCTTATTCATCATCATGATCCATCCATAGCAGCTCAAAACGCATACCATTCTTCCTTTCCTCAAGTTTGTTAAATGGAAAACATATTAAGTGCCATTCAGATGAAAAATCTTGATGTCACAATAACTAGATTGAGATTAGAGTTCAGAATAATGATTCTAACACAAAACTTGAAATTCTCATCTTCAACTTCAATAAGGTTCAAAAGCAATGAAAGATTCAAGCATATTTCCTGTATTCACTGTTCATTCAGTAATCCCATAGAAAGCATCGGATCAACCTCTAGGGGAGCTCAAAACGTTGACCTAAAGTCAAACTATAACTTTGCATGGAACAATTTTGTAACATCAGTAGTTGAAATCAAAATTTAACAACTGCTTTACCATCGCCACAAAAATTCTTCGAAACCAAGACACAAGGATTTAACAGAAGCCTTGAAAATATGCATACATGTTCATCTAAATATTTAATCAAAGATACAGTAATCGGATTTCCAATCGATATGATACGAGGGAAATAGCAACAAACAATCCGTTCGCCGAACAGCTTGAAGCAAGCAGTCGCCGGAGCAGAGAAGTTGACCAAGTTACAGAATCACCTTCCGAAAAGCAAAGACACAGAAAACAAAAACCATCAGAGAAAGTAGATTCCGGCGAAAGATCGGAGCTCACCTTTGGCACCGGCGCCGGCAGCGGAATTTCCTCCGAATTTGAGAATCCAATTGCCGTCTTGAGGAGGTGGAAACTAGAGAAGGCAAAATGGCTGCGAGTGAAGCTTGATCCGACACCAAAATTAATGGAACTTCCCAGGCTGTCACGGCGGCGGCGTCATCCATTTTTTTATTATTATCTTGACTCGGCGATTACAATTTACAGACGACATCGAATAAAAATAAAGAATAAGATGTATTATTAAAAAAAAAAACAAATAAAAATAAAAATAAAGAATAAGATAACTGTGCGTCATTTTATCTTAATAAAATATGAAGTTAGACCTGTTAACTACCCCCACAAATTAGGAACCATAAACGAAACGGCCCAATTAGGCCCATATAGCCGAAAAGAATAGAGGGTGGGCAGGCCCAAAACATGGGCCCCATGGCCCAGTCGGAATTAGTTTCCGAATTCGAAGCCTTCAATTTGCCTTCAAATACGGTTGAAGCTCCCTCTGGTTCTCCGATTTGGAATTAACCGATCGAAAACAAAGATTGCAGAGCAACGAAGAAGATGATAATTCCGGTGCGCTGTTTCACGTGCGGCAAGGTATTACTTCCGCTTCAATCGCTTTTTTCCTTATTTGATCGGCCATCGCCGTTCCTTCAATGGCTAAGGAAATTAATCTTCAGCTTTCTCTGCATTATTATAAGGAAACTCTGTTTGTATCCGTATTGTGTTTAATTTTATGTTCTGTTTTTTCTTTTTTTTTTTCAGGTGATCGGTAACAAATGGGACTCTTATCTAGAGCTTCTGCAAGCAGACTATCCGGAAGGGTAAAATAGAACGCCGAATTGGCTTCAATTCGTCTATTTCTAATTCCTCTTTCATAATCTTGTTAAATTCTGCTAACACAATCGTTCTGAATTTGCATTATGCAAGTATTTTGAGTTTGCGTAGGATCGTTTCATGTATTGAAATTTTTGCGATAACAGCCACGATTGGTAAAAAAAGTATATATTAATAGGATTGAAAAAGATGAAAACATAGTGATTTTTGGTGCGGTGCAGGGAGGCGTTGGATTTATTAGGGCTAGTTCGGTATTGCTGTCGGCGGATGCTTATGACTCATGTGGATCTGATCGAGAAGCTGTTGAACTACAACAGTAATACAATCTCTCAATTCTCTCTGTTTATTAACGAATTTGAAGCGTTTAATTAAATTGGTTGTTGTGATTATGATGCAGCCATGGATAAGTCTGAAATCGTGTAGCTGATGAGCGGGCTGCAAATTGAAGCTTGGACATGCCAAGAGAAGAACGCGTGTAATTATGAGTCGGTGAAGTGACGATCGATTCACACACTTTGCAGAAGAGTTTTGAGTTATGGAAAGTATCTGGTTTTTGCATGGTCTTCTATTCTTGTAGTCGTCTAGACGGTCAGAAAAAAATGAAGGATTATTTATTATTTATCGATGTGGTTTATTTTAATTGAATATATGGAAGAAAAACTATACTATTTTTGTTTCCAAAAACAGTCTTTTTTTTTTAATAAAATATGTAGGTGAAGTATGTTTGAAAAATGATCTTTCAGGAAAGAAATTAAACAATGTATTTGGGATTAACATGTTTTCCAAAATTTAGAATTTTTTGGATTTTTTTTTTGGCCAAATGATCCAAAAAAAAAAAAAATTAAACTTAAATGAGATTTAATTCAATTTCTGTATTTTTTTTTTGACCTGGTGATGTCATGCCGCTACAAGATTAAAATTACAGTTTTGTCCTGAAATTAAAAAAGAAAATTCTAATTCAGTATCTTCTTATTACTATTCTCGTTGTCATGCAAATTTTTACCACAATTATATTTATAAAAAAAAAATCTACAACAGAATGGCAAGTATTAATATCTTATTTTTAGAGGTCTTAAATTTTAATTTTATTAATTTCTTTTCAGTCATATTATTTTATTTTAAAAAATTAATTGATGGATAAAGGAGAAAAGTTTGAAAATATGAGGGAGAAAGAAGTTGAAAAGAAAACTATATAACAAAATAACTAATATTTGATTAGCTATTTTTAAGGCTTATAAGTAAACGTCATGATCTCATAATCGATCTGAGTGTGGAAGAGTCTACCTATGAAATGTACCTATAATATACTACATATCTTTAAGACATAAGTTCTATTTTTAAAAATTCTAATTTAACTTAAATGAGAGATTTTTTTTTTGAAAGTAGAGTTGATGTGTATTCAATGTAAAGTAATGTTGTAATGGATTCAAGTTAGACCATTCACCTTATAGATAATATATGTACTTCATAAATTTCTTACTTTAATCTAATATTTAACACTAAAATGAGTCTTATTAATAAGACTCGAACTAAAAGATTTTCTCACATTATCATTTAGTGCTAATTTGAATTGTGAATAATTTTTTTATTTTAAAAGTACTTGAACTTCTCAAAGTTAGACTGATATTGATACATTATACCTTTTATTACTTGGTTTTTTAGTTTCCTGCTTTCTAAAGTTATCTTCTTTATCCATATGTTTGGATTAATTTGTGTACATCTCGATTAATCACGGGTCAATCGCCTAACCCCTAATATATTTGGTTGACAAAGAAGCTCCTAGATAGGAGCCGATAAAAGTATCAAATATATTTTAAGAAAGGGTTAAAATTTTACTAATAAAATGGTAAAAAAAAATGGGCATAATTTTTTAAAATAGAAAACTACAAGGGAATAGTTATCCAATGGTCTCTAATTTTTTTAGTTTTTAAAATATAACTTAGATTTAAGAATGCTGTGGAAGAGGAAAATAAAAACTAACACAGATGAAATATTAAAATTTTATCATTGAAAATGTAACTATTGTATAATAAACCTCAATGGAAATGTAAAGAAACATGGCATCCCAAGAGAGAATGTTTCTTGCCGATGAATTTTTCGACAAAGTTTCAAATTCACAGCTTCAAAGTTAAAATCGAGCGGAAATAGAAACCGACATCCAGAAGAAGATTCTATAAAAATCCAAGTTTTTCCAGAACAGCTAATCTAATCGACTGAGAAAGCAAAAAAAAAAAAGAAGAAACTTTCATTCCCAATGGCATCTACCCTTCTTAAGACATTGGAATTTTGAAACCCTTTTTCCCTAAAACAAGTAACACACCAAAATCTGTAACCTTTTTCTGCAGCCTTGCCTTCACTGAAATGGTGAGTTATGTCAATACCGAATGCCTTAGGGAACACTTTCCATCATTGTGAACCTGAAATTTTGTTTCACAAACACAAAATTGATCATAAAGTTACCCAAACTTCTTCAATATATAATCAGCTTTGCACTCAATGCTCCCACCCTTTAATGGAAATGTCATAAATTTTACTTGGGTTGTTCAATTTTTGAGAAGTTGACTGGCTTTGGAAAAGGAGCATTTCAAACATTGCTTCTTCTTCTTCTTCTGTGAATTCATGATCAGTGTTTTGCTTTAAAAGTCGAATTATATTCATTAATATCTAACCAAGTTCCCATTTGGTCTCATGACTCAAGTGTTCAACACTGAAATATCAAGACTTCTGATTCCAAAGTTCGTTTCTGGTTTGAATCTTGTTTTGATTCATAAACTTTTAAAATGAGATAATAGACTTTCAAGTTTATTCTACTTTAATCCTAAAAATATAACCATTCTAGTATGGCTTCAAGTATATATATTAACGCATTAACGTGAACATGTATTTGAGTCATATAGATTGGATAAGATGAGTATCCGGTGGATAGATATCATATTCTCTTGAAGTTTGGAACTAAAATAAAAGATTTTAAAAGTTGAAAGACCAAAATGAAATTTAAACGTTTGTTTTTACCTCGGGCATTTGAGTGTCCCAAACCCCATTTTCCTCGATCTGATTACAGCTCTCTGCGTCTTCTTTTTGTTGGATAGGAGGGAAATTTGCCCACTGAAAGAAATGAAAATCAGTTCGACATTCAGATAATATGACTTTCTAATCAGAGAGTTAATTAATTTTGTCTGCTGCCTACATTCTTTGCAGCTGTTCTGAAGGCCTCCTTGTGAGACATTTGAGGATTTTGAGCTTTGAGCCTTCTAATTTCATTCCTGCTCCAAACACAAGCAGATAAATTTTGGTTCTTCAAGCCATTAAAGGCTAGTTTTGGGATTACTTTTTCAAACTTTTTGTAGTGTTGTTTTGATAATTAAAAAAACAACTAAAAACTCTACGTTTTAATCCCAAACTCACTCTAAAACCAGCAAAAAGTTTGAAAGTTGGATAATCTCACTTGATGAAACAGTTATATGCTGATGGGGCTCGCTGTCTTTTTGCAGGAGCTTCAGAGATGATCATTCAGGGCAATAAAAATACCAAAAAGTTAGAACTTTTCATATTTGTTCATTTTATTGTTGTAATTGTAATTGTAGTTGCCAATGTTCTTACGTTTGTTAACAACAGGAGGTGTCACAGGGATCAATCCTCCTTCATCATCTTCATACTCAGAAAATTTCAAGTTTGATGCCTTGAAACTGTCCAAGAACTTCCCAGAATTCATTTCTCCACCTGATTCTTTGGGCTGAAAACACACAAGAAAACAAGAGGTAAAAGTATAGGGGCAAATAGAAAAGTGTAGAGAGTAAACTTATAGTTTAATGTAAAGATGTATGTAAAAGAAGATGAGCTTTGAATCAGAATTCAAGAAGAAAAAGTGCAAAACATGTCCAAAGCCATACCACATTGCGAGCAATAGATGACAGAAAATGGAGAGGAACCAGAGTGGCTTTCATCATGTTAACGGAGAGGAGGCTTGAGCAGTGGCCGCACGTCACTGTCACCGCCATCGACAAGCTGCTACACGGCACACTGACCTGCACTTCCCGGAGAAACGACAGACCGAAAGAACATGAAGAATCATTCACTTGAATAAAACCTCAAACACAATGAAGAACACCAACTTACCAACAAAATGGTGGTACAGATTCCACACTGCACATAACAAATCTGTTCAGGCAGATCAAAGAGATGGTTCATTGTATTGGAAACCAAAATCTCTGTGTTTGATGGTTGGTTCTAAGACGGCAAAGCTCCAAATATATAACAGAATCAGTTGTAAGAAGTTTGGTATTAAAGTTTCAATGCGAAAGGAGTTATTAAATGCTGAAAAACACTTGCAAGAGGTTTAGGATGTTGGGTTCAGAGTTCAAATTTCAATGAAGTTGGAAGAGTGGTGCTTGTTTGTTTCATCTGTCGTTTTTTGCTCCTTCAATTTTTCCAACCAACAGCTGCAGCCTGCACCAAGTGGCCTCGGTATTTTACTGATGAAAGTGAAAGTGCAGTGAGTTCTCTTTTTACTGTAGCGTCTTGCTTTGGGAAAATTAAGGCGTCTTATCATTTGTCTTTTATATTTTATTGTTCGAGTTAATGTGTTTGAAAGTGATGGTAGAATGAATGAGTCACCTTAGAAATCAATTTAAGATCGCTTTAAACTTTTTTAAAATCAATTTTTTAATTTGTCAAACATAATCGATGGAAAAGGAAGAAGTGATTTTGACAATGACAAAAGTAATTTTGATCTAGTTAAAATCACTCTCAAACACACCCTTAAACTACCGTAAATCACCTATATTATAAAAATTTGTTATTCATAGGTCCTTTATAAGCACGTCTACAAGAACCATACCAAAAAATTTAACTTTTTAATTTACTGTAAGAAACCATAAGCAGAAATAACAGTATAGGCTAATTTCTCTTAGTTGGACTGAATGAGAACGATGGGATGGGAATAAATTTTCTAAAATGATGTTTGAGTTATTTTTTAATAAGAAATTAAAAAAAGAAAAAAAAAAGATGTGGTCTAACTTTGCTTGCCAACATTCACGTGGAAATCAATTTAAATTATGGGGTACTGTTACGAAGCAAAGTAATTGAAATTAAAGAAAATAAATTCTCATACTGTTACCTAAGTCATCGTATATCATATTTTAAAGACATGATTTCATGTACTATATCCAAGAAAAATTATAGACTCATTTGGTAACGTTCTTGTTTCTTGTTTCTATCAATTTTCTTAAAAAATCTAAATATGTATTTTACAACTAACTCTCTTCCTTATTTCTCGGTTTTTTAGAACATTCACAATGATATAATTTTTCTCGTTTTTTTAGAACATTCTCACAATGATATAGAAATTATGAGAACAAACCAAACAAATTTCTCTTTCCTTCCAATTTTTAATTTGTTTCAAAACATATATAAAAACATGTTTTATCATACTTGAATTTTTGGGGGTTGAACCCATGCAACACATCTTCCTTCACTAGAAATAAAGAAACAGAAACGTTAACCTTAATTTAAACATAATTTAAACGAAGTCTTGTTGAACATCTCAGCCCCATTCTCATAGCAAGATAATTAACAAAGACGTGTAAACTAATGGAATCCTCTAATTTGAAACCAATTAAGCCACATATCAAATCAACAATATGAACATTCTAAGAACCATTCAATGAAATCCTCAGACTTGCCAAGAAGCAAAATGACCCAAACAAACAAAAGAGCAGATAGGTCACCAACAGATATTATACCATCAATTCCAAAGAGCAAACAGGAAAGAATGATTATGGAGAAAAAATAGTCTGTCAATAAAACAGGCCAGTTTACCCATCTCACAAATAGGTCTGTTTTACTCATGACTCAAACAAGAACTGCAGTTCAAAAATTCACGATATCAGATCATTGCCATAAGATCCAATACAATCAATTGAACAAAGGAATGAAAGTTCTAACTTGACTCTGCCACTGGTGGAATATATGACTTTGCCAAAGAAATCACAAACACAGGCAAACAAATCAGAGATTGAGAATACTCAGATAAACCTTAAGCACAGTCCCCATACAAATCTAGAATCCCACCACACCTCAAATCAACAGGATATAAAGCAGCCAAGTCAGGTCACAAATCAGGCTTTAACAGAAATTAGTAAGAACAGCACACTAAATCTGAACAATTAATGGAAATTCTTGTCCCCAACATTGGTAAATACGAGAAAATCCCTCTACAAATATGTCTTCAGCACTGCTGTTGCTGGGGGTCTATTGAAGCTAGAAAATTGACAAATGTGGTGACTTTCTGTCAAATATGAAACGCTAGATTAAAAAAGTTAAACCCTAGGGTTTTGGCAATACAAGAAGGCCTCAATCAAACTACAAAACAACTCAGGTCTGGTTACACAAGCATTTTTATCAGTTCCAAATGAAAATTAAACAATATACATAAGTTAAGAACTTGTAGGCCCGTTCGTTCAAGAATCGAATTACATAAAAGAGCAATTGAAATTAGTAAACATCTGTTATAGCTCTATCTAAAAAATTTAAGAACTATCAGAACAGCCAACTCACCAAACGCGCAGAAAATAGCAGAAAACTAATCAGCGCCTATTTTTCAAGTTAACGAGAAAGCATATCATCCATTAAACCAAAATCCAAATGAAACAGTTTATATAAAGGATAATAATCGCATAAAAAACTGACTAGATATGTGGATCTAAATGAAAACGATAATAAATCGACATTAAGAAAACAAAATCCATGTCGCGAACTATGCTCCACAAGCTGGAGCAGCAATTCTAGATAAATTCAACAACATTCAACATTTAGATAAAGGGAAAACATGAAGCAAAACGACGATAAAACTAATCACCACCGGCTTTATTGTAAACGTAGGTCAAACCACACTTCCCGCAGTAGTGGCGGTCAAAGTGATTGGCCATGAAAGTCCCGGCGCCGCACTCGGCATTAGGGCACTCCTTCCTCAGCCTCTGCACCTTTCCAGAGTCATCGACCTTGTAGAACTGGAGGACGGCGAGCTTGACCTTCTTGTGCTTGTGCTTGATCTTCTTCGGCTTGGTGTAGGTCTTCTTCTTGCGCTTCTTCGCGCCTCCCCTGAGACGGAGGACAAGGTGGAGGGTTGATTCCTTCTGGATGTTGTAGTCGGCAAGGGTTCGGCCGTCCTCGAGCT